ATTTGTTTGGAAAACGTGTTTAGTATAAGACAATTGTTTTGACAGTGAATCTTGTGAGCTGTAATGGAGCTGAATTGTGTGCTGTTACCTTTGTTAAATGTTGCTGTTGTCCCTGGTTTTATATGAGAAGAGGAAAAGATCGTTGGCTGCTAGGCTAATTTATACAATGTAAAATGGCATAGGCTTGTGCTAATAATGTTAGCATGTTGTATTTGTTTGGAAAACGTGTTTAGTATAAGACAGTTGTTTTGTCAGTGAACCTTGTGAGTTGTAATGGAGCCTAATATTGTAACATTTCCTTTGTTAAATGTTGCTGTTGTCCCTGGCTTCATATGAGTAGAGGAAATGTCTGCTAGCTGCTAGGCTAATTTATACAATTTAAAATGCCATAGGCTTGTGCTAATAATGTTAGCATGTTGTATTTGTGGGGAAAATGTGTCCAGATAAAGACAAGTGTTTGTCTGTGGATGCTGCGAGTTATAGTGAAGCTGATTTGTGTACTTGTGTTTGACATTGTCGCTTTTAAGCCATGTTTAATGTGAGTTTGAATCAATTAAACCCTGCAGTTGACTAGTGTTTTGGAGGTGTAACTGCAGACTGACACAGACACACCACCGCACAAGTATAAATGCTCACAAGGGCGTAGGCTACAGTATTAGAGCTGAGGCACAATTATAAATCCCACTTAACTATGCTTCGGTCCTCCTGGACTTCGTCAAGAGTATTAATTAAATAATTAATTAATTACAACATTGAGTTTAAACAGAAACTGCTCCGCCCATTTCACAGGTGTGCACAGGTGTGGGGGGATTAATCAGCTGGGCATGATCCTCAACAACTGCTAACAACCTGTGCCCCTTATGTCACGCACCCCACAAATGAAACAAGGGAAAAAGGAAAACATAGGAGAGACCTGGAAACCTCAGTCTCCTCACATAATAAAGTCTGTTTACAAGATTATTTACACAAAATACTGATCATATGAATAAGAACAGATAATATAATAAAAGCATTACACTGGAAAGTAAAGCTCCAGATTCATGACGTTATTTAGATGCATTATCAGAGACAGGATCTGAAGAGTCGATGCTCAGCAGATTAAAAGATCTCTCGCTGATCGACTTTAATAAGTCTGTTTAGATTTCATTCATGTTTTGTTTGTTTTTTTATTGAATTTAATCGTGAATTTTTATTCTATTAAATATTTATTTGTGTTTATTTATTTATTCCTTGTTCCACACCAATTTTTTTTAGTTACATTGAATCCTGTAAACAACGCTAGATGAGCAACCACTGAAAGCAGCAATATTAACAAAGGCCACATTCCATTTAGTCTCCCAGTAAGCCATCACTAAAGTCATTCATTCTACCTGTGCTCTTCCTGCTTTGCCAAAGCAAGATGTCCGCCACGAGAAGAGTCTATTACAGGAATACTTCACCCACAGTCTTCATGACGGCAACTTTGTTTTCTCGCATGCCTCCACAGAAACCGGTGAACTTTTAGTAATTGATTAGGGTCCACGTTTAAGAACAGCAAAACTATATCAAAACATTGTTTTACAAACTCTCACACAACTCGTAATCAAAGCCTGGTTTATCCAGTAGGATGCTCAGTACTTTCTAAACATATGCTTTTTTGCTGAAGTGAAAGAGAAACCTATCTGTGCTTCAAATCCAGACCCCAACTCTAGTAATGTAAATTTGTTAACTTAGGTTCAGGAGCAGGGCCACACCTCAACCACACCTCAGATTGCCTGCCAAGCCTACTAATACCTGGTCAACTGATCCTCTGTTTGTCACCCACCCTCCCTTCCCTTCATCCATCATCCTCCCTACCTCATCCCTACCAACATCCCTTCATCCTCTCTTCCCTTCTCCCCTCATCTCTTCTTATTCAGTCAGGTGCATACCTCTCCCATGTCTCATTCTAGGAACCGTCTGGGGCCTGTAATGAGCTTAGGTCTCCCTCTCTCTCTGCCCGATCTCCAATACATCCTCCCAGATCAACCTCTCAGAAGACATCCCTCTGCCACCATTCCTCAACAACTAACACCACCTGAATTACAATTAAACATTTAAACGACATGTTATTGTGGCGTGCTCCTTGCCAGTGAGAGGCTTTTTAGCAAAAATGCATGTGTTTGCGAAGCACTGAGCACACGACTAGATAAATGAGACTTGTATTACACTGCACGAGCTGTGTGAGAGTTTGTAAATGGATGTTTTGATATAGTTTTGCTGTTGTTAAACCTGGTCCCCAGTCAATCAATAAATCAATATGTTTGCTGTGGAGGCATGCGAGGAAAACAAAGTCTTGTTCAAAAATTCAAGGCAACATGATACGACTGATATACAAATGGTGGTAATTTATGGAATGGGTTAGATGAGGAGTTTAAGGGAAGCACATCTACAGAGTACTTTAATGTATCATGTGCAGGCACAATGTTTTAAGGAGGTATGCAGAGGAAGAGGGGTGATGCTGATGAGTTAGATGGGATGGGGTTTGTATATTTAATATCCACGACTGTTGTTTATTTGTCTTTATTAATGGTTAGAAATTAGTTTGAGATAGTTGTTGACAATTTCTTTTTTTAAATGAGACACAAGTACTGAGAGGAGGGTAGGATTATATAGGTGTACACTACTTCCTGCTAATTTTTGAGCATGTCTGTTGATGTTTTGTTTTTGTTTTTATTTTTTGTTTTGCTCGAAATAAAGTCATTCATTCATGTGCATGACAAAGCAAAAATATTAAATGAATTGATCAGATCTGTCTTGGATAACCTATATATATATATATATATAAATATATATATATATATATATATATTGGGCATATTCCTGAATACATTTACATTTAATTAAACACAAATGTATTCCTGAATACATTTGTGTTTAATTAAATTACTATGAAGAGGGGGCCAATGGGGGCCCATGGCTCATTTTTTGCTGCGGCCCTGCCTTTAACTCTGAAAATGTGTTATGTTTTATTTGCTCCTCTATACAGAACACTACACTAAAACATTACATTTTCTAAAAAGAAGTATAGCTGTTGACTTTAATCAAATATTTGTGCTGATTATTGTAAAGAAGGACGATCTCAAAAACTTTATTTTATATGTCATTAACTGGCTTTTGAGTTTGTCAAACTAAAAACCAAACTTTAGTGTGTTTAATGTCATTTTTTTGTCTCTAGATACCCTGAACATGTAGTCAGAATTGTAAGGCCATTATAATTATATCTATATGTGGATATTGCCTCTCATAAAGCCCCGAGCACCACAGCTTGAAAGGTTTTATGGTCTCTCTGTCTCTATGTACTGTATACCTATTTGGATCACTGACAGCTTATTGGCTACAGATCGTTGTTGTAATGAAGTAACATAGAATAATAAATGCCAGAAAATAGTAAAACTATGAACAAATCAGAACAATAATTAGTTGCAGCCGTGTGTCTGGTATTCACTGACAGGTCAACAAATGTCTGATCCTGCAGATGTGGTCCATGTTACAGTTTTAGCCCCAGAGATTCCCCAAACTTAAAGGCAGCAGCATCAGAACAATCTCCTCACATCATTCCAGCTAATTGCTTTTTTGTCTTCTCGAGCAGAAGATAAAAAGAGACACCACACCAACCATCAACTACAACCAATGGCTCCCCAATTAGGGCCCAAACTCTCCCTCAAGGAATCCATGGCTCTGCCTGAGGCGCAAACACCGCGATGACAGACAGACACCCCGCGCACCCTCCCCATCCACAACCCTGGCTTCCACTCCGGCCAATTACTCCTCTGACTTTTCTGGGAAGATAAAGAAATCAATCTAATCAGAGGAGAGGGCGCGTGTTTCTCAGGCCGGTGCCAAGTCCGCTGCACTTTATAGCGCAGATGGAGACAGGGAAAAAAAACCCTGAGCTGTGTCCTGATAAAACAAAAATGCAGCTGAGTAATTCTGAAGACATTAAAATGATGAATAACTGAGAGGATATTTATCATTTAGTCCAGCTGATCGCTCGTTTTACTTCACAACCTGTCACTTAGTTTGGTCCCATAAACAAAACGCAGCTCTACAATATTACATAATGACGGAGCGCACATTTAGGAGGTTTATTACATTTCAAAGGCGACTCCCTCCAGGTGGGGACACGTTTCTAAAAATAATAATAGTATTAAAAAGAGGCGTGTGAGCGTGAATGGTTGTCTGTCTCTATGTGTCAGCCCTGTGATAGTCTGGCGACCTGTCCAGGGTGTACCCTGCCTCTCGCCCGATGTCAGCTGGGATAGGCTCCAGCCCCCCCGCGACCCTCAAGAGGATGAAGCGGTTAGAAGATGAATGAATGAATAAATGAATAAATGAATAAAAAGAGGCAGAGCTGACAGGTAATGATCAGATGGCTCCTGGTTTACTGGCCGAGCCGCTGCCGATGTTTATTAGTACAACCCGGCGCGTTAATGAGCAAAATAAACTTTTAATCCTCAGTTAAAAACGCAGCGTTTGCTCAGAAGCACTGCTTTTATTCGAACATAATAATCTCATATGATTTAGAGACATAATTTACATGATATAAGATCGAAAAGTCGAACACAGGCTGATGTGGAGGGGATTAAAACGGTGCGTAACAGTGACTCCGGGGAGCATCTTGAGGCAAACAACCGGCGACACGACCCAAAATTCAAGCATGTTTTCCTCAAAACTGCAACACATGTATCTCCCAGTGGAAATAATCCCTTGAACATGTAACTTAGATCAGTCTAAGGTTACTTATTATGATGTATGACACACTCATGTCGCCTCAGAGAGGGGGAAACTCCATCACTGAGGAATAAATGCAGGTATAAAGTGAGATTATGTGCCTTTATCCTCCACCAAACCTCCGTGGTTGCACTGGTATGAAAATAAAAATAAAAAACACAGTGTATTCCAGCAGCAGAGTCCGGGTCCAAGCCTCCTGGTGAAACGAAACCCCCCAAAACAAGCCTCGCTCCGGCGCGCGGACTCACCACTTGAACGCCGGACGATGTTCTCCAGAAAAGTGTTCTGCGGTGCCACAAGCCCTCTCTTTCCCCCGGGCATCCTGCTGCGGGCGGGCGGAGCTGGTGTCGGTCAGGGTCTGTGGCGGTGTGTGTGCTGCTCGGTGGTCGGTACTGACGCTGGCTCTCAGTCGGACCGATGGAGAAGCTCATTGTAACCGTGCGCTCTGGCTGCTCGGGGCGCACTGAGCCACGGCGGCGGCGCTGCATCCCGCTGCCTGACCGGAGCGCCAGGACGCATGCGTGTCTGCTGCTGTGGGCTCGGTCCTCCAAAATAATGATGATATGATATGTTTAATGTCTGTGTCGTAGCTTATGTGTGTAATTATGTCAGGAATAAAATTAAACGACATTTTTATAAGACTTGGACTTGGTCAATTAATATATTTATAAACAGCTTAATAAGTACAGAAAATATATTCAGGCCTTAAGTTTCGTTACAGTATCAGGGTTTTGTTGTTGTTGATGTTTTATAAAAATGTATTTAGTGTTTTCTATCTACAGTTTGAACACGTGCCACTTTCTTATAAATAATGATATTATATTACAAGTCTGCCTTTATAACTAATGGCGTTATTAAAGGTTAACAAACGTTAAATAATGCTTTATAATGCATTAATGAGATCAACTTTGGGGTTGCCAGGTTGTGAAAAATCCCCCCCTGGTGAGACAATAGTCAATAAAGATCAATACATAACTAAATAATTATAAAATACTCTGGAGTCTCACTTTGCAATGAGTTATTAGTCTAATAAATGATTAATTCTGCAGTTATACATGTTACTGAAGTCAATAAAGGGTTTCTGCAGCAATTGATTTTGTTTGTGGTTGTAAATATTGATAAGTAATTGATTAATAAATTGTAGTCCACAGATGCTGTGCAGCCTAGAAGCATGTGAAAATGTCAAGCAGCCTTTTTTTTTCTTCAATTAATTCAAATGCATTTGTTCCTGCTCCACGCATGAGTGTTTAATTTCCATTTTTTCTTCCTTGTGCTGACCCTTTTCTTCAAGAGCACCTGTGTTTTTTCTCAAGTCTCATATGATAAAGACGGTCCTCAACACACTACAACCTCATTCTCCTATGTCAGAATGTCTATTTTTGGTTTTAAGGGAAGTTGTGTGCTGGAACTACAAAACTCCCCTTAGAGCAAAGAATTTTCATCATTATACTTTTGTTTCTTTATAGAATTAACAAACAAGATAGATAATCCAGTTGCCAGGAGAAAATATTGGTATCGTACATTTCTGCAAACTACAAATATGTGGCATCTATCCGTTTCATATTTATCATATCAGTGTTTCCAAAGTGACACAGTATACAAGCTGACTTTGTCAACAGGTGGAGGGGATGGGGGATATGATCGATGGCATAACCCCTTGGCGAGACGCCTGCGAAGCTGCAGACTACTGTAAAAGACAAAGGTTGCTGTTTTAGTGACCTGTCACTGTGCTTCCAGCAGCTTTGTAGGGACCAAATGTACTGTAGGTGTTTTTCAGTGATGCATTGTTGTTTTTTCCACCGGGGTTAGTTCCTGAAGAAGTGATTGTTTTTTACAGACACATTGCTGTGTTTCCTGAAGGGATTATGCTATAAAAAAATTTATTTTTTTTACTGAGACATTGATGCAGGGGCTTAAATATAGACAGTGCAGGCAGTGCACTGGGGCCCGTGGGGTGTAGGGGCCCATAACGAGAGCTGTCCCTTGCAAGTGAATTAGGTTGCCACCATGAATATATCCTCCTGAGACCCTGTTTCTTCATATGAGGACATCACATTTTGGGTTTACATGACCTTATACTTAATTCTTCTTAACTTAGACCCGTTGTCCTCATTCTTGGACACTTTTTGTGCCATCTAGTGGCAGTAAGACCACAGTACACTAATCCATGTAAAAACAAGATGGCAGCCATCTTTGCCAAGTCAGTCTGCAGCTGATCCCAACACAAAAGTGGACAAGGTCCAAAACCTGAGCACATGTTATGATTGAAACTTGTTTTTTTATGATCATTAAGGTTTTCAGTTTGATATGGCAACAAATTTGACCAATTTTAGCAACAGTAACAAGCTAAGACGCTGATAATTAGAAAGTACCCGTTTGAGGACATCAGGACTTATTATCATCTTGTTTTAGGACACTGGGACTTTATTATAGCGTTGATAAATCTCACATGTTCAGTTGCTTTGAAAATGAGAAGAAAAACAAAGGAGGAGTAGCAACAAGATGAAAAATGGTCATCTCAATCTTAACAGGTCCTAGTTATCCCTAATAGCTAAGAGAAACTAAAGCACATGCCAAACAAAAGTTTGGGTCTCAATAGGATATACCTGTGTTCTAAGAGGAATGATAAATAAAGAATATTTCTAATTTAAAAATGATGTTATTGATTACTTTCATTATAGCATGCAGTGGGGGCCCGTTATAACTTCCTTACACCACTGCAAATGGTTTCTCCAGCCATGATTGTGCCACTTAAACTGCGCAGTTAGTTACAGTGTGGAAAAGAAAGAAAGAGCCACACTAGCTGTATTCCCCTCCTTCTGCTCTTTATGCTAAGCTAGGCTAACCAAGTCCTGATGTCAATTTTTTACTTAATGTGCAAACATCCATTGAAAGCGATATCCTTTTTTTTTCATATAACTGTTGGTAAGAAGAGTAAAAAAAAACATATTTCCCAGAGTGCAGAGCAATTCCTGTAAGAAAACCACCACCCTACATCAGAGACAACAAGCTACAGCAGATTAACCGTCTGTGAAGTGGCTAATAACAAGAAACAGCTCCTTGTTTTACCGTGCTGAGGTGACAACAGTCTCTCCCTCTCTGCAGGAGTCCCTCAGGAATGCTCATTAGCTTGCATGAAGGGTTAACAGGGCCCAAAGGAGCCAAAGGCCCAAACCAGGCATCACACTTCTGCACTGGCTGTCTGCTCGACCTGACGCCACCATCTAAAGTATTGACTGGAAAAGAGGCTGCGCACCTATTTATAGCTTTAAACAGTCTCGTATGCATTTAGGTTGGTGGCATTAACTTTTTTTTTACTACGGCTTGTAATGACTGGAGCACATTAAGGTACGCTGCAGGCCTGATTGAGGGCGTCAGGTTTCTATAATAACTGTTCCTTTAAACAGGACACACAGACATCAAGGAAATCATTTCGTCACAGTGGTTCCCAACTTTTTGTTGAAGCAATGTCTACCTCTGACCCCTCATCACTGTTTTCGGTCTGGGTGTTAGTAGTGAGCAGCTCAACCAAAAAAAATGTCTCCACTTGCTTCATTTAAAAGATTTTAGAGCCCTGAAGTGGTGAAACAATTCAGTATTTCACAAAAAAAAAAAAAACATATAAAAACAGGAATAATAAATATAATTTAGTGAAACAGAAATTTGTTATTTGTCTTTCTTATTCCTTTAATTATCTGGTACCCCCTCAGGTTTTTATGCCCTCCTTGGTGGCCCCTGACCCCCCCAGTTTGGGAGCCAAAAACCTAAGATGCTACAATCTTCGGTAAGAACTCAGGCAAACAATGCATTATATAACCACAATAAAACCACGACAGGACCAGTATAAGAATATAAAGAGTGGTTTTAACATAATGAAACCCAAAATCAATTGTAAAAAGATGACTGAAAACCACAGTTAAATCAATATAGAAATAATCCATAGAGTGTAATTGTGTTACTTCAGAGCAGGTTCACGTTTTCTTGATTTGGTCATAAAACAATACTTATGTACCAATACTGAAAGTGTTATTGGTTGCTGTAATTGTTTCTCCAGTCCATACTGGCAACAGGGAGATCCCTTCTTAATTTTAAGAGATTTAAAACAGAATCAACCTTGATATAGATCCTACCATGAAGCATTGAAATAGTCAAATTAAAGCAACTTTTACCTTTCTTGCATTTCACACAGCACCTAGAAAAAATTTGAACATCCACAACTCCACCTCCCTCCAAAGGCCTACTTCCCCCTCCTCCATTACGTCCTCATTACGTCTATGATAGATGTAGGCGTTGGCATGGTAACGTTAGATACACAGAAGAGGAGAGCGAGTGTAACGTTACAAATGCAACCCCGGAGTTTTAAAACTCAACCAGACTCAGTGATGACTGATGAGTTTTAGAATAAGGTTACAGTGCTAACGTTAGATAGTAGCATTAACGTTACTAGTAAGTGGAATGTTAAGCGAGCGGTTACGTCAGTCGGAGGCCTCCACATGGGGAAGACAGACAGGATGCTTGACCAATCATTGCATTCGGACCAAATGCAATGATTGGCCGGAGTTTTCTTAGAACCATATGAGAATGGTATAATTATGAGTTTTTATCTCTGGTGGAATTCACTTACATTTCAGTGTGCCATCAGCTTATTAATAGCATTTTAACCTAAACAAAGAAAAGTGTAAAATTTCCAGAAAGGTAAGTGTCGCTTTAAATATGTGTCTTCCAATTGTGCTGTATTTTTACTACCAAAGTCCCATTTCATGTTGTAGTTATATAAAGAATTGTTTGCACCGCGTTGATGAACTGCCTCTGCTGTTTGTGGTGGTAACATCCCTAGAGGAAATATCTACAATTGTCCACGGCAGTAGATCACGCTGTGTTCCTATTGGCTGACGGCTGTGACAGGAGAAGTTGTGAGAGACAAAAAGAAAATCAAACATGTTAGACTTTCTGTCGTGACGTCGTGAGGCATTCCAGACGTGGCGTCGGTTGTCGTCTACTATGACACACTACACCAGATATATATATATATATAACATGCACGGCTGGACAGGCTCACCACAACAAACCACAGAGAAGCTCAGATTACAACATACACAGAGGGAGCGTGACTTGCGTCTCTGCTCAGGACATGATTACTCCTCTATATCTGTACAGAGCAAAAAGAGGTTTGTTACATTATTAATGCTCCGAATGTCGCCTATGGAACCTTTAAGATGGAGTTGAAAAAAAATGTGAATCTGTCCTTTAAAATGAAGCACCGTCTCCTTGCAGAGTCTAGTCGTGAAGGGTAAAGTTATCCAGTTATTCACACATGGGAGATACAAAAGATTAAAGAGTCATTTCTCTGCTCTCCTCTCCTGTTGATCCTGTAACAAACCCTCAGATATATCTTGTGATTCCTCGAGGGTTTCCAAACCCAAAACACACACAATACTTTACAAAACTCT